ATCCACGAACAAGGGATATCTTTCCATTTTCTGATACCTTCTTCAATCTCCTTTTTCAGAGTACTGTAGCTTTCAATGTAGACGTCTTTCACTTCCTTGGTTAGATTCATCCCTAGGTATTTCATTTTTTTTGGTTGGTATTGTGAAAGGAATTCTCTGATTTCTCTCTCCATGAGTCTGTTATTTGCATACAGGAAGGCTATTGACTTTTAAATGTTGACTTTGTATCCAGCTATGCCACTGAATTTGGTTAGCAAATCTAAAAATCTTCTGGTGGAGTTTTGGGGGTCTTCTATGTAGAGTATCATGTCATCTGCAAATAATGATAATTTAACTTCTTCCTTTCCTATCCTTATTCCTTTCATTTCTTTCTCTTATCTAATTGCTGTGGCTAATGTTTCCAGAACCATACTGAACAAGCATGGTGACAGTGGACTTCCTTGTCTTGTTCCTGATTTTAGAGTGAAAGCTTTCAGTTTTTACCATTTAATATGATGTTGGCTGTTGGTTTGTCATAGATGGCTTTTATCAGATTGAGCTAAAGACCATCTGTACCAATTTTCTGTAGGGTTTTAATCATAAATTGGTGTTGGACCTCGTCAAATGCTTTTTCTGCATCTATTGAGAGGATCATACAGTTTTTGTCCTTGGCTTTGTTAATATTGTATTACATTTATTGATTTGGATATGTTGAACCATCCCTGCATCCCTGGGATGATTAGTTTGGTCATGGTATATAACCTTCTTGATGACTTGCTGCATTCTGTTTGCCAGTGTCTTGAGGATTTTTGCATTTTTGCATGTTCATTGGGGAGATTGGCCTGTAATTCTTTTTTGGTTGGATCCTTCTCTGGTTTTTGAATCAGGATAAAGCTTGCTTTCAGAAATGAATGTGGGAGTATTGCTTCCCTTTCAAAAAGTGACATTTGGTCTTCTCTAAATTTCTTGTAGAATTCATCAGTGAGTCTGTCAGGTCTAGGGCTTTTATTTGTTGGCAGTTTTTAAATTACACATTCAATTTCATTGTTGGATATTGGTTTATTTAGAATTTCTATATCTTCTTGATTCAGCTTTGGTAATTCGTATGTATCTAGGAATCTGTCCATTTCTTCTGTATTTTCCATCTTATTAGAATACAGGTTCTCAAAGTAGGTATTGATGATCCTGTGGATCTCCGCAGGATCTGTTGTGATTTCACCCTTTTCATTCCTAATTGCATGGATTTGAGTTTTTTCTTTCCTTTTTTTTTATAAAGTTGGCTAATGGTTTGTCCAATTTATTTAATCTTTCAAAGAACTAACTCTTTGATTTGTTGATTCTTTGTATTGTTTTCTTAGTGTCTATTGCATTAATTTCTGCTCTGATTTTTATAATTTCCTCCCTCGTACAAGCTTTGGGCTTGACTTGCTCTTCTTTTTCTAGAAGTTTGAGGTTCAACATTAGGTTGTTTATTTGAGCCCCCTCTGTTTTCCTGATAAGGGAATTCACCACTGTAAATTTCCCTTGTAGGACTGCTTTCATTGTATCTCATAAGTTCTGGTATGTTGTGTTGTCATTATCATTTAATTGTAGAAATTGTCTGATTTCTTCTTAAATTTCATCTGTGACCCTTTGGTTGTTTAGGTGGGTGTTATTTAATTTCCATGTGTTTATGAAGTTCTTGTGGTTTCTTTTGCCGTTGATTTCTAATTTCATTGCACTATGGTCTGATAATATGCATGGAATTATTTCAGTTCCTTTGCATTTACTTAAGCATGTTCTGTGAGCTAGTATGTGGTCTATTTTGGAGAAAGTCGCATGTGCAGCTGACAAGAATGTGTATTCTGATGTTGTGGGGTAGAATGCTCTGTAGACATTTACTAAGTCCCTTTGTTCAAAAGTTTGGTTCAATCCTAATATTTCATTTTTGTTTTTTTGTCTAGTTGATCTATTTGTGACAGTGGGGTATTGAGGTCCCCCATTACAACTTCTGTATTACAAGTTTGTATTAGTGCTTATATGATTTTTTCCTGTCCGTTAATGTTTGTTTTGTATAGTTGTGTGCGCTGCTATTTGGTGCATATATATTTAGGATTATTCTCTCTTCCTCTTGGATTGTTCCCTTTACCAAGATGTAGTGACCTTGTTTGTCTCTCTTAATCAGCCTTGGCTTGAGGTCTACTTTGTCTGCAAATAGAATAGCTACCCCTGCTTTTTTCTGGCTTCCTATCAGATAGAATACTGTTTTCCATCCCTTGACTTTCAGTCTGTGAATTTGTTTTTCAATTAAATGTGTTTCTTGTATGCAGCATATTGTTGGATCTTGCTTCCTTATCCATTCTGACAGTCTCTTTTTTTTCTTTTGATTGGTGGATTGAGACCATTAACATTGATGGTTATAATTGATATGTATTGTCTTATCTCTGTTATGTTATTTTCCTGCTGTTCAGCCTAGCTTTTCTTCCCATTGCTGGATATCTTTCTCACTGATCAAGGATGCTACCTAGTGGTAAAGTTGGTAGAATCTGAGGGTTGTGGTTCATATGGTTTTCCATGGGTCATTTTAGGGCCTGTTTTCGTGGCTGGCTAAGCCAAAATATGTTACCTGGGTCTGGGGTACTAGAGTCTCTTTTTAGAAGTGATTTCTAGGTCCTTTCTGACATGGACAAAGAATTGAACGAAGCATGCATGAGCGGTGGCAAAGTTTCACATTTTTCCTAAAGGTAGGAAAAAACAGGTTCTGCAGAGCGAGTTTGAGCCAAGTAAAAAGGGAGGAAAAATAAAAATATACCCTACAGCATAGGGTGGACTGCAGTGAAGAAACACTGTAGCTGAGTTTTTAAAAATAATGATTTCAATAAAGAAATGAGACCTGGTCGTATGTCAGTGTAAAAGTCGCAAGACAGTTACTCTTCCAACAGTGTATTCAGAGCCTGTACTTAATGGATTTCTACTTACATTTAGTACTAGAAATCTATTATTTGGGCTTATATGGCAAAAGTATGGCAATATAGTTCCATGTTATTTTTTTAATTTAAAATGAGTATGATTTGAAGGTTATTTATACTTATATCAAGATGCACTGGTAATGTATTTTTAAAACTTGAAAATGTGATACCTTAGCCCATCAATTGTAAGACACATTTCTTTGTCACACTTAACTCTGAAAATAAGACTTTTCTTAAAATCGATGTTATTGTCATAGTTTAATGGAGGTATCTTTTTCTTACTTGGTGGTTTATTTTTTAAAAAACAAACTCATATTTTTTTAAAAACTCATTGATGGATTGGATAAAAAGCAGTAGTTGATTTTTTTGTGGTTTATTATAGAACTTATATTTATGTAATTCTTTGTTATGGTGTTGTTTTATCTGTGTGTGAAAAAAAATCTAAGTGGTAGAAACATACCTTATATTTAGAATTACTAAGCCTTTACTAAGATTTGTTAGTGTTTCCTTTCAGTCATTTATTTTGTCCTCTCTACTCTCACCCTAGATAGATGTTTCATATTAAACTGGCTCCCTAGCTGAATCTTCCACTGAAAGACACATAGGACACTAAAAAAGATGGAGAGCAAGAAAAGAAGTGGGTTGGGCATGTAGGATGTAAGGTGGGGTGAGAGTAGTGAGTAGGTGAGACCTCCACAGTCAAAAGAAGAAAAATGGAGAAAAGGAAGAAGTTGAATAAAGTGATAATATAGAGTCTTTTGTATTTATCCAGCTTTGGTATCCAGAAATCTTTCCCTGCTTAAGCCTCTGATCGTAATATGTTAGCTTGTGAGTTACCCAGAGTTAGCTAAAATAACTCCTAACATTGCCTAAGTTCAGCTGGTAAATTCTTGTTTCAGCCTTTTCTTCTTCTACAGAAGTTGTCTTCTTACTATCTCTAGCTTGTACCTTCCCTTCCCTACACCACATAGTCTGTTTCCTCAGTGTGCTGTCTCAAGATGAGTAACTACAGGGGAAGCACATGCTCTTGAAAAGTTTTTATTCATATTCTTTAGTAATGGCATATTTTCTGCCTTTTGAAAGAGTCACAGAAGATAACTAGCTAACACTATTTTAAGCAAGATCATTGTTTAAAATTTACCATTAAAATGTAATTTAAATTAAAATTTTGACATAAAAGTTTATAATAAACTGAAAGAACTTGTTTTGTTTTTGGTACTGGGGATCAAACTCAGGACCTTGAGCTTGCAAGGCAGGCGTGGTGCCACTGAGCTAAATCCCCAGCCCTGAAAGAACTTTTTTTAAAGGCACATTTGCTTTATAATAAGGAGTTTATCCTTGGAGTATTTAAACATGCTCCAAAAGCTTTTATTTTATATTAATTAATTAATTAATTTATTTATTTATTTATTGGTACCGGAGATCGAACTCAGGTCCTTGCGTTTGTGCAGCAGGCAACGAAACCACTGAGCTAAATTCCCGGCCCCTCCAAAAGCTTTTAAATACCTGCAGGACCCTATGGAAGCCACTGTGATTGCTGCCTGGAGTTACGGAAAAGGATTATGGAAAAGGATTATGAAGGTGTGGTGCTTCTATGCCTAAAGTCTTCAAGTTTCCGAAAGATTCTTTCAAGAAGTTACACAAAAGCTTTGCTCTTCCTTTGCATTGTCTTGAGTTAAGCAGCTTTAAAATGTCTCATGTTTAGGATTTTTTTATATTGAGAATTTTTTAAATTATGTTTTATTATGTCTTTTCAGCCATATTGCACTCTTAACTTTTTGAGCTTAGATACCAAACTAATATTGATTACTAGAGGAAAGAAAATGAATTACAAATAACTGATTTACTTTTGCAAGTTGGAGGATTTTGTGCTATTCTTGCTTACTACGATGCCTCAATAAAATGGAAATGTGAGACTTGTCTCTGTAAGTAAACACTATTCACTCTTTTATGAATAATATTTCAAATACAGGTGCTGAGTTTTGTATAGTTCTGATAAAAGATATGCCAACTACGCTAGGATTACTGTTCAATGGCTAATTTTATTGTTCTGAATTCATTTTTTCTCTACAGAGGATGTGCTAAGTAAAGATGCTGGGGAATGTGCAATATGCCTTGAAGAATTGCAGCAGGGAGATACTATAGCACGACTACCTTGCCTGTGCATATATCATAAAGGGTAAGTTTATCTTTATGTTAGCCGAGTTGGTATTGGAGTAAAAGATTGTGCTTAGAGTTTCAAACATTGTGGTTTAGGGCTAAGAGGTCTCTTCTTCACTGAAATCCATTTCCTCAACTTCTTAAAAAATACTGGCCTTTCTTCCCTGCTAGGCTTAGACTTGAACCCACATCTGTTGATCCAAAGGGCTACCATTTTTTTTTGTATTAAATTCTTTTATTGGTACATTGTAGGTATACAACACAATTACATTTCTCATTGGGAATTGTACCTTTA